AATTATTAAATCATAAGGGATTGTCTAAATAATGAGGATAATTACCATTTATACATTTAAGTTATCCTAATCCCTTAAATATCTATATAGATTTCGAAAATATGGATGGATAATGCAAGATCTTGAATTACCATATATAACAATTAAAGGATAATTACAAGATATGGGATAATCCAAATCCTTAAAAATTAGGATCTTATCTTGGGGAGGAGGCAAATTTCGAAAATCAAGGGATTATAACAAACCCTAGATTTCGAAATTTAAGGGTTTAAGGAAAGGATTTGAAGATCTTATTCAAACTCTTGCAAATTAGGGTTTGCAAACCCTAATCTAAAAAAACCCTAACCTCCTAGGGTTTATTGGCAATAAACCCTAATATATCAAGTTCATACAATTGAAACCAAACCAATGGCTCTGATACCACTGATGGGTTTTGGTCATAAGACATCCTATGTGCTCATACAAACCCTAATGCTTAGATCTAGGTTTCTCTATTGTACATGCTTTGAATCCAAGACTATAAACCCTAATTCTAGTATATGAAATCGATATTAACATGTGAATGGGTTTAAGAACATACCTTGATTGTTATATAGCAATAACAATCCTAATTCCACCTTGAATTGACTTTGGAATGCTTAGAGTCACAAGTGTCACTCCTCTAATGGCTTGCAAACACCAAGAGCAAATGGAGAAGGTATAAAGAGAGAGGAGAGAGGTTAGAATTCGTCCTTAGGACTTCTTGGGAACAAGTACACGAATTCTAAGGCCTTAGGGTCTTTATATAGGTGTAGAGATAGCGTTTCAGTCATTATCCTTATCTAGTTGCTTATCCACAAAGCAACCATAAGATAAGCCTTGAAAACCCTTATCCTTTATCCTTTGGACGATTTCAAGGATCCTTATCTCCTTGAATTCGTTCAACCCATATTTAGGAAAACCATTACCATATTTTGTAACTATCACATAATTACAATTTAGCCCCTCTAGTTTAATTAATTACACTTGATCATAAAATTAATTCATAATTAATTATTGACCAATATTAATTAAGCAAATATGATTTCTCCTTTAATATATTATTCTTATAACATATTAATAAATCATAATAATGTCTCTCTCTTTATTTACTTCTCCAATCAAGTTGCTTTGGTGAAGGCAACCCAAAAGGACCATGCACCATCGGGTCAAGTACATACCAAAATAGTTATGGACTTAGACACTAATCCAACAGATTTTGCTTCGGTTTTTGTTTTGTAGCTTTTATGAATGACATTTTTTCCAAGAATATACGAATTGGCGATTCCCCAATTGTCGTAGACTCCTTTGTTTTCTCCGTTGAATATCACATACCATTTCTTTATATTTTTATGATCTGCTTGTAGTGGTGGATACGCCTCCTGGTTTGGCGTCATGATTTGTTTTTCTGTTTCGAGTGCTATTTGTGGTTGACTTTCATCGGATGATATTTCTTGAATTTCTTCTTTTGGTTGCTTTGTTGTTGAGCTGCTGGCTACTTCTTCTTTAGATGATGAATAAGATGATAGAATTTGTATTGTTTGTTGTAGTTGCTATTTTTCACGTTTGACTACTTCAAGCTGTCTGATTAACGATGCTTCTTGCTCCTCTTTTTGTCTGAACTGGTGTTTGATTTGCTTCATGATGGCTTCCATTTCAATATTTCTACTGAATGAATATTTGTGCCTTTTGGGTACCTGAATGATTGCTGATATTTGTTTGATTTTAATATTTTAAATGATTATATGAGAATTTTCATATCAATGTATGCTTTGGTGATATTTTCATATCACTGTATACTTTATTATTGTTTACTTTGGATTGTATTTTCATACCAATATATGCTTTAGCAATGTATACTTTGGATAGGTTAGATATGAGGTTTCCCTCATGTTCTAAACCCAATAATGCTTTCTTCATAGGACTATTTATCTGAATCAGAATCAGTATCAGTTGTATATGCATAAATATCTCTATCTGAATATATTCCTGAATCTTCTATAGGTTCATACCTAAGATCATATGCAATTTTTAATAAGTTTGTTTCTTTTTCTTTTTTAGTCTTTTTTGGACATTCGTAGGCTTTGTGTCCGTCTTCTTGACATATCCAACATTTACAATCTTTTTTATTAGATGGACAGTAATTTGTGTTAGTTTGATATTTTTTCTTATATTGTTTTCTGTCTCGAAAATATTTTCTTTCACCTTGTTTATAATATTGTTTATATTTAGGTTTATAAGTTTGTTTTTTCCAAATTTTCTTTTTATATTTTAGTTTTTTATTATCTTTACAACCATATTGATTAACTTTATTAGATAAGGTATCACAGCATAAATCAATTCTTGCATCTTGTGTTGGTTTTTGTTCTAAACGTGTTTTCTGCATCCATGCTTTTAATATACTTATCCTTGCTCCTAAGGTATCTGCAATTTTATTTTGTTGTAATGCTTCTTGGAAATCTTTTATTACACTTTGACTTACTAATGATGGTAATTTTTGGTAAAACATGTCTAATGCTATCTTTTTTCTAGTAAAATCTAGATTATAATAATGTTCAGAATATTCGCATATAAATGGGTCTAAATAACACATGTTACAAATTCGTAAGTTAGTTAGATGCCATAATGATTCTAATTGAAAAGCTTCTTGAGATGTTGTATCTTCTATTTCTTTTCATATGAATTCTTGAATAATCCGATTTAATACATTTTTAAATGTTTCCGTAGCGTCAGTGGTTGCAATCATCATCGTCTCTGTTTCATCGAGAGATGAAAGGAAACGATATGCATTGCCCTGTGTTTTATGTATAATATAATTAAGAAAAATTCTTGGATGTAGATTTCTTAATTCATCAGTTAGTTGAATTTGAATTCCCATTTTATTACTCAATTCTTGAATTTTTGCTTCGGGATTTTGCTCACAATCAATAAAAAGAATATCTGAATTTGTTGGAAAAGTAAATAGTTTAGGTATATATTGTGGAGGAATTTTTTCCCATTTGTTTTGTTTATTTTTGACCATTCATTGTCTATATAAAAAATTTTCTTCTAACGAAGGTGGTCCATAAATATATTGACTTTGATAATCATCTTTAATAAATTATTCTTGTTATCTTATCTTCAAGATTTTATTTGTTAATATTTAAACTTGAAAAACTCATGATTATAATTTTTAGAAACAAAATGATAATTTATTTTTTTCTTTCAAAGTTACGATTTATAAATTTTAATAAGATGTTGATGATGGGGTTTTTTAATATTATTATATTTATGATGCAGTCAGAGAATTATAAACTTTTTTGACATATGAAATGTGTTTCTAACTTCTTGGTACATAGTCATAATTGTAAAAAACCTTCTACCGACATATGTTTAAATTGTAGGTGGATAGTAGTAAATAATGAGTTTATGATAATAACTTATAACGATGAATGTTTGTAACGATGAATATTCATAAGAATATATATGATGATGCATGTTGAACATATATTTTTATATGAACGAAAGATTTAACATTCATAATCATAATAAGAACGATACTTAGCTCTTATACCAAATTTAACAACATTACGAATAAATGAATATTAGGATAAGATTATACCTGAATGATGCGTTAGATTGTCTTGATGATGGATTATGTTGAATGATTACATGATTACGTGGATAGTTTGGATAAGACTCTGAATGATGCGTTGGATTGTCTTGATGATGGATTATGTTGAATGATTGGATGATTATATGGATAGTTTGGATAGGACTCTGCTATTCAGAAATAGACAAACTATTTCAACAGAGAAGAATTTTGAGATCAACTCAAGTCTTAAACACTCAAATTTAACTTGTTTATTTCATATGGGAGAAGGCCCTATTTATAGGCTCGAAGGAGCCGGTTACAATTATTGTTGCAATCGTTTGATTGCAAGACGACACACATAATTTACAATATAGACCCTAGATTATGGAGGGTCTTACATCCTACCGACACTATTTTAATACAAACAACAAATACAAATAATTCTACTGACACTTTACATAATTAAAATATAATAATCATCTCAAGTCTTAAACACTCAAATTTAACTTGTTTATTTCAACAGAGAAGAACTTTGAGATCAACTCAAGTCTTAAACACTCAAATTTAACTTGTTTATTTCAACAGAGAAGAACTTTGAGATCAACTCAAGTCTTAAACACTCAAATTTAACTTGTTTATGTTATACTAGTTGTGAAACCCGTATACTATACGGGCCAATTAAAACATAATATTAAATACATAGAAGCGATTAAATGAGAAGTTTATTTGAAATTGAAATATGAAATAAATGAAAATTATGAAAAAAAAAAAACATGCAGAAAATAAATAAATTAAAATTATATGTTTAATTGTTAGACCCGTGTACTAAATGTGTTATTATTATAAAATGTTAAATACAAAGGTTTAAAGTGTAAATTTATTTGAAATTGAAATTGAAAATTTTCAATTTTCAAACTTGAAATTAATAATCATTATAATAGGTTTAATATATGGAAACTAAATTAATGATATAGTGGAAATGAATAATAAAATAATTGACAAGTGGAAAATAAATATATTTCAAAATTATGAAAAAATTACATGTGGTCAATTAAATTAGATAATGACAAGTGGCAATAACATTTTCATTTATTAGGGTAGATGGGCGAAGGCCTTATTTATAGGCTCGAAGGAGACGGTTACAATTATTGTTGCAATCGTTTGATTGCAAAACGACACACATAATTTACAATATAGACCCCTAGACTATGGAGGGTCTTACATCCTACCGACACTATTTTAATACAAACGACAAATACAAATAATTCTACCGACACTTTACATAATTAAAAATATAATAATCTCTTCCACATTGAAAGGAAAGGTGTCTTCAATAATGACTTTTTATGTCATTGCTTGCGTCATTCCTCCCGCCTCCGAAAAAGCAGTTTTTTTTTTTATTCTTGTGTTAGTCTTCCATGAATGGTGTTTCTTCTATATTTTCTTTACAGTGAATGCAGTTATGATGTGGTGCATGCATGATGTGTTTACAAAGTTGTTTCTTTAGATCAACGGGTAATTCAGCTAGATGATGAGAAAATTTTTCGAACGGTTGTTCGAAAGTTTCAATTGCTTTTATTGCTTTCGGTGTGATTTCATTGTTTGTTAGGGAGTATATAACGAAATTTTTATTTGCATAATTTACTCTGATTCTTGATTTTTGATCTTTGCCGTTGCCTATGCGAGATGATGCGAGGTAGACTCTGTCTAATGCAAAAATCAGATGGTCTTGTGTGGGTTCATCATGAGGTAGGTCATCTTTTGTTGGTTTTAAGCCGTTGCTAATTCCCATGTTTGCGAAGGTAATGCTTGGGACAAGTAATTGTTTGTCTTCATCAAAGATTGGATAGCTAGAATGCATTTTTATAAATAATCCTCGTTCTTGTTTGGCAAAGCGTGTCTTATAATTTCTTATTATGGTTTGTACGGCTGATGGGAATTCGTTGATGCAGTGAAGATTGGTTCCTTCTAAGTAGATGGTATCGATAAATCCATGAATAAAATAATCCCATAAGGTCATGGGGTCTGATAAATCGGCTAGAAAAACTGCTTTGGGGCCTGGGCGCCTGGCTACTGGGTAGAAACCCATTAAAGAATGGATATCGGTGTATGAAACGAGGCTTCCCCATAATTTAGCAAAATTTTGGGCAGTTGGTTTTTTCATAGCTTATTTTTCTTTGGTTGACAAAATGGCTTCAAGGGCGATTTTAGCATGGAGTTGATTAAGAGATTTTGGGATGGATACAGGTTTTTGTGGTGCAAGAAGGATTGTTTTCGAACATTCGACATTATCTCTTATTACGACTTTGTATGCTTCATTGTATGCAGATTTTGCTTCGGTTTTTGTTTTGTAGCTTTTATGAATGACATTTTTTCCAAGAATATACGAATTGGCGATTCCCCAGTTGTCGTAGACTCCTTTGTTTTCTCCGTTGAATATCACATACCATTTCTTTATATTTTTATGATCTGCTTGTAGTGGTGGATACGCCTCCTGGTTTGGCGTCATGATTTGTTTTTCTGTTTCGAGTGCTATTTGTGGTTGACTTTCATCGGATGATATTTCTTGAATTTCTTCTTTTGGTTGCTTTGTTGTTGAGCTGCTGGCTACTTCTTCTTTAGATGGTGAATAAGATGATAGAATTTGTATTGTTTGTTGTAGTTGCTATTTTTCACGTTTGACTACTTCAAGCTGTCTGATTAACGATGCTTCTTGCTCCTCTTTTTGTCTGAACTGGTGTTTGACTTGCTTCATGATGGCTACCATTTCAATATTTCTACTGAATGAATATTTGTGCCTTTTGGGTACCTGAATGATTGCTGATATTTGTTTGATTTTAATATTTTAAATGATTATATGAGAATTTTCATATCAATGTATGCTTTGGTGATATTTTCATATCACTGTATACTTTATTATTGTTTACTTTGGATTGTATTTTCATACCAATATATGCTTTAGCAATGTATACTTTGGATAGGTTAGATATGAGGTTTCCCTCATGTTCTAAACCCAATAATGCTTTCTTCATAGGACTATTTATCTGAATCAGAATCAGTATCAGTTGTATATGCATAAATATCTCTATCTGAATATATTCCTGAATCTTCTATAGGTTCATACCTGAGATCATATGCAATTTTTAATAAGTTTGTTTCTTTTTCTTTTTTAGTCTTTTTTGGACATTCGTAGGCTTTGTGTCCGTCTTCTTGACATATCCAACATTTACAATCTTTTTTATTAGATGGACAGTAATTTGTGTTAGTTTGATATTTTTTCTTATATTGTTTTCTGTCTCGAAAATATTTTCTTTCACCTTGTTTATAATATTGTTTATATTTAGGTTTATAAGTTTGTTTTTTTCCAAATTTTCTTTTTATATTTTAGTTTTTTATTATCTTTACAACCATATTGATTAACTTTATTAGATAAGGTATCACATCATAAATCAATTCTTGCATCTTGTGTTGGTTTTTGTTCTAAACGTGTTTTCTGCATCCATGCTTTTAATATACTTATCCTTGCTCCTAAGGTATCTGCAATTTTATTTTGTTGTAATGCTTCTTGGAAATCTTTTATTACACTTTGACTTACTAATGATGGTAATTTTTGGTAAAACATGTCTAATGCTATCTTTTTTCTAGTAAAATCTAGATTATAATAATGTTCAGAATATTCGCATATAAATGGGTCTAAATAACACATGTTACAAATTCGTAAGTTAGTTAGATGCCATAATGATTCTAATTGAAAAGCTTCTTGAGATGTTTTATCTTCTATTTGTTTTCATATGAATTCTTGAATAATCCGATTTAATACATTTTTAAATGTTTCCGTAGCGTCAGTGGTTGCTATCATCATCGTCTCTGTTTCATCGAGAGATGAAAGGAAACGATATGCATTGCCCTGTGTTTTATGTATAATATAGTTAAGAAAAAATTTTGGATGTAGATTTCTTAATTCATCAGTTAGTTGAATTTGAATTCCCATTTTATTACTCAATTCTTGAATTTTTGCTTCGGGATTTTGCTCACAATCAATAAAAAGAATATCTGAATTTGTTGGAAAAGTAAATAGTTTAGGTATATATTGTGGAGGAATTTTTTCCCATTTGTTTTGTTTATTTTTGACCATTCATTGTCTATATAAAAAATTTTCTTCTAACGAAGGTGGTCCATAAATATATTGACTTTGATAATCATCTTTAATAAATTATTCTTGTTATCTTATCTTCAAGATTTTATTTGTTAATATTTAAACTTGAAAAACTCATGATTATAATTTTTAGAAACAAAATGATAATTTATTTTTTTCTTTCAAAGTTACGATTTATAAATTTTAATAAGATGTTGATGATGGGGTTTTTTAATATTATTATATTTATGATGCAGTCAGAGAATTATAAACTTTTTTGACATATGAAATGTGTTTCTAACTTCTTGGTACATAGTCATAATTGTAAAAAACCTTCTACCGACATATGTTTAAATTGTAGGTGGATAGTAGTAAATAATGAGTTTATGATAATAACTTATAACGATGAATGTTTGTAACGATGAATATTCATAAGAATATATATGATGATGCATGTTGAACATATATTTTTATATGAACGAAAGATTTAACATTCATAATCATAATAAGAACGATACTTAACTCTTATACCAAATTTAACAACAACTCTGTTACCATGAAAGGATTATTTTCCCTTAAAAAAAGGTTTGTATTTCATTAACGCATATATACAATACATATTACAACAACTTAACCAAAGATAAAGGAGAATTTAACTCCATACAAATAATTTAATCTTTGGTATTATCTGTAATGCTATCGCTAATTACCCGATTGATTCCATATCGATATAATATTAAAATAGTTTTTATTTAAATACAAAGAGGTTGTTAGAAGATAGAAAGAGATGAAACCATCACTCCAACTAGTTCACCGTATCAACATCTATGCAGTTATCGCGCTCAAATTTTCAATAGCGGTCACATGCCGCTATTTGAGATCGTGGTTATCGCGGTGGTATAGCGGTGATATAGCGTTTTTTTAATATTACGTATAATTTATAATTTTATATTATATTTATATAGAAGTTATATATATTTGAGTATTAATACTATAAGTCTATATAGAATTAATATCATAAACCTAAAAACTCATATAAAAACATAACATAATATTCGATTATGATAATAGGGAAACTACGTAGTATCAAATGTCAAATAGAGATTAATTGTATAGCCCATGTTCAATATCGTATTAGTAGGTCATGGTTGATATAAAGAGTTAAGTACCAAGTCGTAGCCTCATGGGTGTGGTTCGATTTACAAAAAACATTAATGGAGTCTGACCGTAGCAGCTGAAGTCGTTGTGAGTACAAAAAAAAGATGAGAAAGAGAGTTGTCGGTAGACGTAGTTGCTTTGAATGCTTTTAATTATGTTAGTTGTTTGGGCATTTTAAAATGAAAGTGTAGTGAGATCATTAAAACTAGTTTTTCATTGACAAAGTAACAAAATGACCCTAAATGTGAACGAAAATGGAATAGCGCCCATAGCGCCGCTATAGCGGTTAGTGAAATAGCGGTGAATAGCGCCGCTAATAGCGGTACCGCAAAATGAAAACGCTAAGTTGAAAATAGCGGTTCCTGACCTCCGCAAAACGCACGCTATAGCGCGCAATTGATAGCTTAGATCAACATAGAACAAACTCTTCCTTCTGCTGCTTCGACATCAAAACAGCCAGCTTCAGGTGGCCAAGTCGGCAAAGCCTCGCCGGATTCTTGAACACGGTAACTCGACCAGTTTTATCACCACCGGACAAAACAACCCTCGCTATGCTAAAACATTCACCTTCTTCAACTGCAAACTGCCACTCTCTAACCGATATCTCAAACCAGTCTTTATCTGCAGAATCAGTCGTTTTGACTTCAATATATTCCTTCCGGTTTTCCTCATCACAGACTTCAATATCATACGGAAGCCCAGTCTCACCATCTTCATTCACCCATCTCACTACATTCTTATTGGCTTTTCTCAAGTAGTATTTGAACGCCATTTCCTCACCACGTCTCCCTGTAACAGCCGCCTGCTGAACATTCGTTGTCCCATGTGAAAGCTGATCCCTTTCACTAAAACTCGCCGGAGGATCTAGGTCAACCAAATCAGGTTCCCCATCAACACAATCACCACCTCCGATTCCACCATCATCCTTAGGGTTCGAGTTTTCAATTTGCTTAGCGACATCTTTGATCTTGAGATCATTCAAATTGAATTTGGGGGCGGTTTTCCAGGTGGCCGGTGGCCAGTTTCTGTTGCTTTGGGAAGATGGTGTGGTGGGGTTGTCGATTCTTTTTGTGACACGTGTTGTGGAGTATGTCTCCAGATTCCATTCTGTCGGTTGAATTGACCATACTGGTTCGTCATCTGGGAGTTTTGGCACCTTCTGGCTATTCAACACAAAAGTTTCTATTTGTTGTTCAGTGGAACCTGATTCAGTCATGGTTGTGATCATGTGAAGGAAATTTGCCAAGTGCAATTCGGGATTCCCGTTCATCAGAAAATGAGAAAGCTCCATGAATATCGAATGAGAATCTGAATCAGGCGTTGCATACAAGATCTCATCCTGAAAGAAACAGCTACTATCATGTCTCTTCTTGGACGCTAACTTTGATCTTTTTATAACGTTCTTATAGAATAACTTTTCCACAACAACAATCTGCAGTCGATTGAGTTTTTCAAATCCAGACAGCTTTAGTTGGAGATATCTTTCAGGATACGTGTTACATATGTAACGTTGAGCATATGGAAGAACCCATTTCAGTAAAGAAGTCTCATAGCTATTGTCAACTGGTCCATAATATACTGCTTCACGAGTAACAAGCTGTAGTTGATAATAATAACTGGCTTAATTAGTTACAAGAGATAATGTATATAGTTATAAATTTTTTTTAAAAAAAAATGACACAAGAAGGAGAGAGAACCTCTGAAAGAGAAGGGATTCCTAGCATTTTCATGAGAACAGAAACTTTCATTTCAAGCATTTCTTTTTCTTCATCAGTGAGTTCACACATACGAATAAAATCAATATTATTTATGTCCTCAAATTCATTAGCAAGATTCTCATCATCACACCAACAAACTAGCCCAAATGATGGATGTAATGAAACCCAATTATCGTTTGAGGTGGGAAGCACCTTTGTATCCTTTTCTTCAAGATTCTTTTTCAACATGTCAACATCCTCAAAACTCAGTAGCCCAGATTTTATTCCATCGCCCCACATAACAAAAACATCAAAAACCTGTCAAAACCATTTTTTTAGACAATCCATTATGTCAAACGATAATAACACGATTAACTTTTACCTTTTTAGCAGCCTTTGTTGGAGTATCAACAGTTGATAAATAACGTAAGAGTGCAAAGTAATCTACAAGTGGAGGGTTCTCCTTTACACCACATTGGTTAACAAAAAAGTCATGAAGTGTTGGATATAAACTGCTTAACATTTTGCTCAATTCGATCTGAGGATTGATCAAACCATCATGCCAATACACCTCATGAGGGGATAAAAGAACACCAGGCACAATTTCACTTGAAGAATCAGATGAAAAAGGAACAAATATAAACGCTTCATCACTCCCTAAGTTCACCATGCTATTCTGATTTGAAGAACCCAATTCATTCCATACAAACGAGTAAAACCTAGACATCTGTGATATGCTGTTGAAAAAGCATTAATCAGTTAAAAAGGATTGATGATAAAGGACTAAAAGTAAGTTAACATACCTAGCTTTCATAGATGTGGATGATCTTTTCCAGACTTCAAGAACAGATAAGGCGTCATGAAGAGAAACAGTAACCTTAAAACCAATGCTGGTAATCAGCTTCTCACTTTGAATCTGTTGCATACAAAGAATGCAACAAGTTGTAAGTTAAACAAAAAGGTTTCAATCAAGAAGCAAAAAGTTTGATAGAGTAAGCAAATTGACCTTTGAGGCAGCATAAGGGGCGTTATCACCCAAAATTGACCTCACAGCCTCACAATTATGAAACAAATCTTTAGGACAAAAAAGCCCTTCATCCATGCTAGAAACCACCCATGGAACATTGTTAAGAGCAGTTACAACTGCAGACCTAAAAGACTTGCTTTCTCCATCCATATTGCAAAGACCTAAAACCTTATCACCAAAATAATCATCCCATATCGTGTCAAGAATCTCCAATAAATGTTTGCATTTTTTACAATCACCACTCTCCGAAATTTTCTCCAGCAAATCAACCAACTCTGGAGACTCCCAATCACTAATTGTTGATCCAGAAACAGTCTTCTCAACTCGAATGATTTGCACAAAATCAGTGACTTGTAGTTCATTTAAAAATTTCCTCCAGTTGAGTATACAACTATCTGATGAATACTTCAAATAAATTTTATCAACCTCATACCATTTTACATCAATGCCATTGATCAGAATTTGTGTATCAATACGATTTCCAAAATCATTATTGAAATGGATTGGCACCTCAGAAGGTAGAACAAATCCATGATTTGTCAAAATATAAGCCTTATTATAGACCTCTGAAATTATTTTCTCCCTTTCCATACGACAATCTGAGCAGCTAGATTGTAGGTGAACCATGATAAACGATAAGTATTCTGTCATGAGATCTTTATTCACTGTATTCTTCTTGTCACAAATAGCTGGAAGGACGTGTGATTTTACTACTTGATGTGCAGAGAGCTTTTGGACACCAACTTTGGAAAGAATTTGAGTTAAGTTCAAGGTGTTTGAACAATCAAAAAGTGCAGGATTAACGACTCGAAGATCAGCAAACAATCTGTCAGATGTTTTCTCCAAATTCATCCAAATCATACCCTCATCAATCGAAGTAAAACAATCGTTTAAAAGAGGAATGAAGGGTGTTCTTCTGAGGGTATTCATGATATCAGAGCTAACTCCAAGAAGGGACATTTCATGGAAAGAATTAAGCCAAGATGATAGCCAACTAAACCCCATTGATCTTAAACCTTCTTTCATAAGGCATAAAGAAGATAACATTTGAACCAAGATTTTAGGTCCATAGTTCTCAATCCCCAATGCCCTTGCGAGTGAATCGGATATAACTATATCTTTATTCAAGTACCCAAGGCCAAGATGCTTCTGAATCATGCTATCAGGCATAAGTTCTCGAGCCTCTTCATTCCAGTTTCTTAGAACCCTACATGGTGGGACCCAATTGTCATTATCCCCTTCTAGAAGAAGACAGTTAGACGTGCATAACTTTGATATGATCATTCTTGGAAGTGAAGCAAAAAAACCATGCACTTCTCCAACAAGAGGAACATAGCTCAAAAAGGAAGAAACACCTTTTCCAAGACAATCATGAAAACCAGGAATGTTGCAGAAAGATCTCTCAGACTTCACAAACAAGCTTGGAAACTCTGATAGCAGCCATTGATTCCATGAACTGTCTCCATCAACTTCTTCTCTTGAAGATGGAAGGATAAAATCAGCTTGGATAATAAACTTGAAACCATATGTTCGAAGAGGAAGAAACGCGAAAACATACTGTTGATCCATCTTTGGAATGTAATTACCATCTCCTGATTCTTCCAGTGGAAAAGCAATCGAAATTTCAGTAGTTTTGGCATCATCTCGGATTCCATTAGCATGCAATGTATGGGATTCTACAAACCATGTCAATGTTTTACTCCCATGGGAAACATTGATTAGTCCATTTCCAACGATTTCTTTCCTCATGGTGATATATGAATCAGTAAGCATGTTTCTGAATTTGATACATTGTAGACGATGAAGAAAGAGCAATAGAGATGGATGAAGATCGGAAAACATTGATGTGATGTTATCAAAATCAGAAGTTTCTGTTAGGCTTGACTTAAAGGGAAGCACAATGCATGTATTCCATTGGTGTATATTCACTTGATCAGTAGTATCAAATGAAACAAGGTTTGTAAACAACTCAATATCACAAGGAGGGACGATTGTTGGCAAAACAAAACCAATTTGACCCTCGCTTATGTCGAACTTAATATGGAATCCATTAGAATGAATTTCTGGAGCATCAGTAACCTGAATAATCATCAAAGTAATGGTGTCAGAAAATAATAGATGATGAAAGGACTTGAGCCCGAATCAGTTAAAAACATGAACAAAGATAAAATGAGGGCAATAAGAATTTGTCATACACTAGGAAGTTGAAGACTTTGGTTTTTTACTCAAAAAAGAGAAAATTTTGTTCAGAAAAAGTTGTTAATCAAGAAGCATGACATTTGACATTACCCGAAATACTGATTTGAATCCGATTCCTTTCTTGCCAATATAACCAGCATTAGATGCCTTCTTGGTAGAATTTCCAACATCACAAAGTGCTCTGATGTTCTCACCAGAAAAACCATTCTCATTATTCATGACAACAATACTTTTCTCCTCAAGAATGAATGTCAAAGTTGGCTCCACGTTTCTTGGGTAGACATTATCATCAGCATTCTGAATCTACAAAATAAAATTTTAAGTGTGTAAATATGTGGAAAACGTAAAGAATAAAGTAGTTTGTTGTGGTGGATATATATATAAAGCTGGAAACTTACAAGCTCTAAGAGAAAATGTGAGTCTTGAGAATATAATTCTTGTGATAGGCAATGAAGTGCTCTTCCTAAGCGAGCATGTTGCTTTTTCAAAATGCTACTTTCTAAACTTGAAATTTTTGGATCCAGACCAAATTCTTGGATTCTAATGGACTCGATAATATTAGCTGCATCATTCTCTCTGGCAGAGTCTGACATAGACCTAATGAAACTAACATCACCACTTTGCACTCTATGAGTCTTCACGTTATCTCTTTTACAATCATCAGTAGCCTGTTTGACTTCAAGGGGCGTAATAATAACTTCATCTTTTGAACCAAATCTCTTTGAGGATTCTTTGGATTCAAAAGAACATGTACAGTAATCATCAAGCCATTCCACTACGCCTAGAAACAATCCAAGCTCATGGATCATCAGATGATCCTCTTTACATTTGCATTCACTTAAGATCACATCATGAGCATCTTTGATGATTGAACGAAATGCAGAAACCAACAACTCGGCTGCAAAACTTTGGAACTCTTTAGGTAGTAACCCCACACAGTCAAGGAAAAACCTTGCGCCTTTTTCAGGGTCATTTTTGTCCAAAATGACTTCAAATGCATTCTTTGCATATCGTTTTAGAAGAGGCAAGGGTACATTTTGTTCACCACCATATAAACAAATCAAAGATAGCAGCTTTAGGGCAGTTTCAAAAGCAGATCCAAGGAGGAAAGCTTCAAAGAATGAATCAACAGTAGCTGAATGATCAATCCGTATAACTTTCCCATCTCTTGTCAATAAACAAAGCAACTCCTTTGTGGTTACTTCACTTAACAACCAACCCACAAGAGGACCTAAAGAAGGTGCATACTTAATCTCCCAGTGAGACCATGTGGCTAAATCTACAAACATTGGAGCCCTAAGTAAAACTTCAACTGTATCCTTCGTGCAAACATGGGTCACTGAGAAACCCTTATCTTCCCAAAAAGTAGATAGAGTTGAAGAAAACAACACAGCATTTGAGCTTGCATTATGACCATTCTTGCTCATAGTAGTCAAAACATCTGCTGTGAAATCATCTTCTAGTAATGTAAGACCACTAGAAGGGTATTGCATTCTTAATAACTTGGAAACCATCAATGTGCTTAAGGTTTCATTTTCTTGTAAGCTATTAGCAGCTTCAGATAACAGTTCAAGAAGATAAGGTTGGCTCATGAAAACTTTAACTGAAGGCTTTTCATCTTTGTCAGTGATCACGAAGCAGTTTTGCCATGTGGTTGGTAGTAGTGAAATGTGATCCATTAAGAAAGTAAAAATGTGTCCAAAACCAAGGATCTCAAAGTCTTTGATGGAAAACTTTTGAGTTAGAGATCTTTCTAGTTTGCAGATCTCCCTTAGAAAGATCAGCTGTTTCTTCGGATAAGAACTTACATTGTCTAGATCATGATCTGGGAACGCAAAATATGTCTTGATATACTTCAGAAGATCTTCAAGAGCAATGCCTGGAAAGTGAATATAAGAAAGAACATCAACTTAATCAAGAATCATAATTATGATCACTTTTACCAAATCCTTAAATTGTGACTTCAAGTTCTAATAATCACTTCAATTAAAAGTACATACATACACCCCTTCGAGACACGAAGTGGATGAAAAATTGTAAGACAAAGCCAGTTTTTAATGGATAACAATATTAGGAAACTAATACTAAAAACAAGCTTGTAACTTACAGACACTACCCTCCACAACATCCTTTTCATCTGGATCAACATCCGTGTTCCCATCAAGTGCACATGTCCCCAAATTTGCATTTGATGGCCCCTCTTTACTGTTTGCTTGAGAGGTAGAACAGATATGATCCCACAAACCAAACTTTATAGATGCAATCTGTAACAAAACAAAGAAACTTAAATGTAGTCCCCACATAGTTTCCAAACACAGCTTATTACCCCACAATATGCAGATAAAGATGGTGTTTGTATATAGGGTATCATGGGAATGATGTCGAATGATCGTATGAAAACAGTCTAGTTAACTTACAGCAACATTTAGCAATCCGACATATGGATATGATGATGCCATACTATTTAAAGCTTTGGTTTTCCTCTTTGAGTTCATTTGACCATGATAAAAGTCAAGCATCTTGCCAAATGACTACAAGCAAAAGATAGCAGTTAGAACAAAGAACTAGGGTACAATAAGCCAAATTCTATGATTATTGACACTTGGTTTTCTCCATAGATGGTTTGGTGTCATTTTTGCACATTTATAACAAAATCTTAATAAACTTGAACAAAATGCAAATATGATAGAGAGCATCCACATACCTCAACTACATTCTCTTTTTCACAGGCGCCCCTACAGATCTTAATGAACAGCATTGTACGCTCATTAAGTGCATTATCATCTATAATTAAGATTAAAAGAAATCATTATCATCTATAAAAATTGTTTCCACATCACCACTTTAACTTACCCGAAAATTGTGCAATTGAGGTTAAAAGAAAAGCATTTAACTTACCAGCATGACACCCTGAAACACCCTTTTCAGCTGGCTCAACATCAAATGCAGTTGTGCTGGAGTTTGCATTTGCTTGAGGGGTGGAACTAATACGATCCCACAAACCAAACTTCATAGATGCAATCTGTAACAAAACACAATACACACAAAAAAAAAAAAAAAAATTATGATAAAGGTCATGCTTATATAAAAGAAACTTAGGATAACACAGCTATCACATCAAATAGTTGTATGAGAATGGTGTAGCTAGGTAACTTACAGCAACATTTAGCAATTCAACATATGGAGGTGCCCTAACTTTATTTAGAGCTTTCATTTTCTTCTTTGGCTTCATTGGACCATTATAAAAGTCAATCATCTTGCCAAATGTCTACAAGCAAAAGATACCAGTTAGCACTACATCATCATTCTGCATGTCTGATTACAAATCTTAATGAACTCAGACAGAATGCAATGTGGTAATGAATATCAAGTTATCAACATACCTCATTTACGTTCTCTTTTTCACAAGTGTCTTTCCAGATCTTAATGAACATCCATGTATACCCATCAACTGCATTATCATCTATGAATCCTGTTTCCACATCACCACTTTGAAACTCTTGTTTAAGCTCGATCCCAAGCATCCGATGTTTGGGTATTCTATGAACTACATATGCCGTGCAAAAGTTATTTTCAGGTCCTTGTTTTCCTTGATCAAATGAAACACCATGATCATTGCACACTTTTTTGTCTTGAGAAGAAAGCACATTACGATCGATCTCAGTTGGAAATGAAGAATTGCCAGAATCCTGTATGTTATCATTTTCCTCATAATTGGTAGCCTCTCCATTATTATCATCATTGTCATCAAGTTTTGATTCAATATCTAATCCATCAGAACACTTCTTTAGCAAGGTGAACTCAGATCGCCTTCCACGCATGATATTACCAATGTGCATACTGTAAATGTGCATCAAGCCATCAACAGACAAAAATAGTAAATCTATACACAGCTTCAAATGCATGGATACTTTTATGAAAGTCTAATTAAGCATGGAATCATACAATACATACCCCAGACTTTGTATTCGTACACAAAGATTTTCACGGCTTTCATTCTTTCTCTTGGCTATATAATCCAATAAGTCATCAACCGTGATCTTTTTCCTTCTATGAAGGAGAATATTGAGGTAACCAATGATTTGTTCACTTGTAATCTTGAATATCTCTGTGACATCAGATCCTACAGAAAAGTAATGCATCACTAGTGGATGCTTTAACATGGGTCCCAGTTCAAGTTCTTCAAAGCTACTAATTCCCTCACTCTCACAAATTGCTGTCTCCAAATCATGTAGTGATGTGATCTTTTGGACCCCAACAAAACAATGTATAAAAGAGTTGACCTACAACATCAATATCAACTGAAAATCATATTTTGAACTTACATAATTAATTACATATGGCAACATATTATACAAAGACATCTGATCCGTAGATGATTCTTGCATGATTTTTTTCCCAAGTTTCTAGCAACAATAACTTGTTATGAAAGTACATTAGCTCATCAAAGATCCTGGATCTGTTACTTTATAATGTTTACAAATCTTGAAGTATAACTAAATGTTACAAAGGTTAATCACTCATATGTATTTTGGATCCCAACAAAGCAATGTATGAAAGAGTTCACCTACGAAATCAATGTCCACTGAATACTTTCAGCAACTATCTTGAAGTAAAGATTGTACGTTATACATGTTGATATCACTCAGATATAGTTTCAGCAACTATCCTACACTCATCTTATTTAATGAAATTTATATACAAAGTTCTTGTAGCCATTAATTACAAAAAAACTTGAACGAAATTAACAGATCAACATCTTCTAGCTATTATTGGTGCTGCATAGTTATTTTAATCTCGGTTGCAGGCATAAAAAACTTTTAAAAAAAAAAGGCGACAATTAGAAACTTTACCTTTGCTTCAGTGATCATCAAGCGATATAGTGAGGGAACATTTTGCATATGAAACCCCAAGGATTCGAAGGAAACGGCTTTCAGTGTCACCAACGCCGACTGTGAGACTCTCCATGCAGATATGGTTTCGCCGGAAGCAAGAAGATCAGAGTGAGCTTTCACTACAGCGCCGTCGATCATCGCAACCGTTTGCGACGTAGAGTTTACATTGCGACTACTGCCGCCGTGGTTTCGACGGCGAGGATGTCGGTCCATGTTCTGTGTTGGAGGATCGCGATACTTTCGTTGTTTGAAGTAAGAAACTAAAATCTTGCTATGGATTGTGCTTATAAAATCTTTGCCGTTTAAGAAAAAAGTAAAAGGTCGTCACCGGTGATTCAGGTCGTCTCTTGGTCTTCAACATGTTGGTACGGAGGAAAGAAGGAAAAGAAAAAAAAAAAAAATATATATATATATATATATATATATATATATATTTACGCAGGGTGGTACCAATCACTTTGTACTGCCGCAATCAAATTCTGTCACGTGTAAAGAAACTTTTCTTTCCAAGACACAAGTTGCAGAGGAAAAGAATTTAACGTTTTAAGGTGGTTGTTTTATATTTTAAAATGACTCATTTTTTATTTTTTCCTAAAGTTAAAAATAGAAGGAAATTCAGTCTTTGCAAGTAAATTTGGCTTTTGTAAATTTAAAACTTAAATTACTTATATACCCCCTAACTTTTGATTTTTTCCTTTCAAAAACTAATCCGAACACTTTTTAAAAACAATTTTTGATTTTTTCCTCTCAAAAAGCTAATCCAAACATTTTTTAAAAATAACTTTTGATTTTTTTCCCCTCAAAAGTTAATCCAAACACATTTTAAAAAATAATTTTTATAAAAAGTTATTTTACAAAAAAAACTTTTGCTCCTCAAAAACTAAACCAAAGAACCTCTAAACTATTCTGGTCAATCAAATTTCACCCTACACTTACAATAATCAATATGTTAACCTTAGAACTATCAACACTAAGAAGACATTTTGTCACATTCAATACTTATAAAATTTTCGTTAAAAAGTTTATTTTATTTTATATACATAGGTTAATGTTTGTGCATTAATGATATTTGTCATTCTCCAACACAAACGTCTACGAAAGGGAGGGCAAGAACGAAGTCTGCAGCACTGGAAGGAGGAACTTACGAGTTGAACATATAGTAATCTTAGGTGAGACTCCAAAAAAGACGGACGTACCTAGCCACTGACACAGGTCATACAAAAGCATTTAAGGTCAATGACTCGCCTTTTTTGAAAGGATATCATGTGTGTCTAATAGAGGTCATTGTAAGGTCACGCATTATGATCTGATGCGTCAACACTTTACACACTGATCACCAACGCCATCGTCGTGTCAGCACCAGCGCCAACACAGCCTTATCAGCGTGAAGCTAATGATCTTGGTGATTTTTGTATATTAGGCAGTTATATATATATATATATATATATATATATATATATATTATTCAACATTAGGGTGAAACTCTAAAGTATGTCTTAATGACCTTCATTCTCTTGGTGAGAACATCATTTGTTAGTGAAAACATCTTTGTGATTACTCGTGTTCTTTGTTTTTTGTTTAATCCTTGTTTAGTTAGTTTGTCTGTTGTTATTCAAACTTGAAGATCCGATCGATACAAACCTTCAATTAGTATCAGAATAAACTTACGATACACTCAAGTTATCATGTCAACCTCTTATAAACCCAAGTCATCTGCTTGCAACAAGATCCCTCCTTTCAATGAACTCAACTTTACTGCTTGGAAATCAAAGGTTATTGATGTTCTCAAGATCATGGACTATGACATGCTCAATATCATCTACAAGGGTCCCATCATCTGTATGCATCAATCCTCTAATGATAGTGCATCTAAAGAAGAAATATGTGCAAGGATACAACAAGGAAGAAAAAAGGGTGTTAAATCTCAATGTAAAGGAGAGAATTGCTATTGGAAACTCTCTCCCATATCATGTCTATCGCTTGGTTCAAAATTACTCAACTGCACATGAGATGATAATCACCCTGTCATCCAACTTTGACAAAGAAGATCTCTTAGATGACAAAGTTTCAAAAGGCAAGTGTCTCATGGCTCAAATCACCACGTCTCATGCTAATGCACCAAGTGACAGTGTTAGTACATTTGACGTTGATCTTTCTCAAGCTTCTATAGACTCTAAGTCTAATAACTGTGACTCGGCCTTAGAGTATTAGGTAAAAAACCTTGTTAGCTATTCTTCCATCGAAAAACATGACATGTCTGATCACATACGTTTCGATTTATCTGTTTCAAACAAAGAAAAAATTTCTCTCAAAATTGAGTTAAAAAATCTCAAAGAAATACTCTCCACTTCCGAAAAATCTCTTTCTCATTTAAAAGGGGAAAACACTTGTATCTCATTGACCAACAATTTTCTTCACACTGAAAAAGAAAAAGTTATTGATCATGCAAGAAGCATTCAACTTATTTTAAATAATCGGGTTTCTTCACACTGTAATGTCCTGAGAATTATTAATGATCGTATTCCTGATTAGCGTGAGAAAAATTCTTGGAGGTGACGTTGAAGGCATTGTTTCCTTAATAAAAAAATGTTGAGACTAGAAAAAAATTTTATAACGTTAACAGTCTAGATAAAGATTCTAAAAATAGATTTGTAAGTTCTTTTTTTCATAAACCAGACTCTAATTAATACACCTTGTACTATTGACTCAAATGGTAATACCAAATATGTATCTCGTTTATCTATTGTTGATCATTTTTGCCAACCTCCTCATCATGAGTATGTTTTTCCCTCCACTAAGATTCTACTGGAATTTTGTAACGTCCCAAAAATACCGAGTAAAAACTTCATTTTAAATAAGTCAAAATGATTCATATATTATCTCAAAAGACGATTAGAGTAAGATTATTTTCATAACATCTATGTGAAAATATAAATGATCATTGCAGAATAAATCTTCAGGGATGCAATGCAATCAAAACGGGCTCTTCTTTGTAAAACTGGAAGTAAATAAAACATAAACTGAAAACAGTAAGTACAAAGCTTAGTGATCTCCCCCAAAATATACCCCATACCATATATACACAACAATCAAACATAACAGGGTCTATTTCACCCCCCCCCCCCTTCAGTCTCTTCAATCGATATTAGGTATATTTCAAGCCATTCAGTCTCTTTTAACAATTATTGGGTCTATTTCACCCCCTTCGGTCTCTTTCAACCAGTATTGGGTCTATTTCAACCCATGCGGTCTCTTTTAACCAGTACTAGGTGTATTTCATCCCTTCGGTCTCTTCAACCAGTATCAGGTCTATTTCACCCCTACAACTAGCATATAATCACATAAGTAAGAGACACGGAGACATCAAACACATACAGGTAATACATGAAATTGTCATGAATATAATTATTATCCTACCAACATAATCTAGTGAGTCGGCATTGGTGCCTTTGACCCACAAGTAAAGTGAAGGAAACTCACCTCTCAGTCTGAACAAATAGTTGAATATGTCACAACTCCAAATATCCGCTCTACCCAGCACTCAGCAACAGAACAGCCAACCCAAGCTTCCTAAAGCCAAATCGAAATTAATCCTTAGCCAATTGCTTAAGTCTACTCAAGTTCGACTAAAACTCAAATGGGTTAAAAAGTTAACGTTCAATAGCTAACATTGACTTGCCACGTCGTGGTGGTCCTTCACTATGTCGTGGTCCCTAAAGGACAAAACAAACGACCTGACCCCCAGTCGCCACGACGTGGTGACCTAACACCACGTCGTGGTAATGGGGTTCCAAACTACTTAATTGATTAAGTTGTTTTCTTTAACCTCTCTACCTATAAAGCTTATATCTCCCTTAAAAACTGGTCTAGATGGATAAAGTTTTTAGCTTTACCCCCCTAAGGACCATCCATAAAGGTCCAAAATAAAGCCAAAACCACGATGTCTTAACCAATAAGTCCTTAATTTGAAAATTCCTTAACCCCAACCACTCTAGAAAGGTTTTATAATATCGTGTCTATCATAGAGGTGGAAGCTTTATAGACATAAATACCCAAAACATGTCTAGAATCCAAATTAGGTCAAAATGGGTAAAAAGGTGACCAAAACTCATACATGGATGTCAAAACACAACCAAATCTCAGATCCATGAGATATAATATTTTTGGGACCCTTAAAAGTCATAAAGTTTCAAACTTTATCTCTTCCATCTTGACAAAAGCAACCAAGAATCCAAGATGTGCTAAAACTCAAACTCTACGAAGACAATACCAACAATAATGGAACTAGCAGACTCACCAAAGGTCTAGAGAGTGAACATAAGGAATGGAGATAGGATTCTTACTGAGTCTTGCACCACACTACCATCTTCTTCCTCTAAAGATCACCAAAGCACTAAAATGAGCTCACAAAAGCAAAAGATGTTAGGGCTAGGGTTTATGAATGTTGGACGGTAATAAGGGTTGATAAAGGGTGAAACCCTAGCTACTACTTCCTTTAAATAGGGCTCATAGATCATAAATTAGGGTTTTGCTAAAACAGTCATCACCACGTCGTGGTGCCCTATGGCCACGCTATGGGAAGCACTAAAGATACATGTGTTTCCTATACATTGCCACACCATGTCGATCCATTCACCACGTCGTGGCCAACCCAAGAATGGAAATAAACTTCATAATTAGCCTACAAGAAATCGGGTGTTACAAATTTCTTATCTCCAATGGTGAAGTTCATTCGGTAAACGAATTTCTTAGCATATTTCCTCAGTGCTCTTTTAGAAACACTGAATCTGTAGATTAATCGAAGTCTTCTATTCCAAATGATTCTTTAATATCACATCTGTCTCATGAAGAAGTTTCACCTGAGCATACCATCGATGACATTCCTTGGTCCAGAACTAAAGCAAGAATTTTTAAATCAAATGACCAAGATTCTTCATATTTGGTTATTAAAAAAGAACAAAAATCTAATGTCAAAAGAGAGAATTCTAGAACCAGATTTTGTTATCCGTGTGGTGATGCTTCTCACAGAGTCAACAAGTGCACATTTGAAAAGAGTTTTGCTCGTGTTTACAACATCACAACTCGAAATGATAAGTGGATCAAACAGGGAAACTCTTTGAATTGTCTCCCTAATGCTTGTTATCACATTTTTTCTTAAGTAACCTATTGCAACATGGGTCAATGTATATTAATTGTATACTTTAGTTTTCAAGGTAAAGAACATATTTGGTATTTAGATAGCGGTTGTTCAAGACATATGACTGGATTCAAGTCTCTTTTGGGTGACTTCATAAAGAAGGATGGTCTGATTGTTACATATGGGCATAATGCAAGGGAGCTACTTAAGTGGAGGAAACCAGAA